ACTGTCTGGGTGAAATAGACGGATTATGATGGTAAGTAATGAGAGGCAGGTTTGGAAAAGTAAATTAGAATAAATTGTAGAGGACCTGGAAATCCAGCTAAGGATTCTGATGGAAATGAGCAGATACAACAGGTTTTCAAATAAGAGGCTGAGAGGAGGAATGGACCAAAGCAGAGTGGAAGGCATGAATGGAAGTGGAGAACACATTGCCTCCATGTGTAAGAATTAGGGATGACAAGGGATCTGAGTTTGACAAAGACAGTATGGAGAGATACAAGAGAAGGGTTGAAAACACTGAAAACCATAAACTAACAGAATTTGAGTAAATTGATATGAAACAAAAAGAAGAAAGGAATCTCACAGATTTTGAGGCTGGGAAAATTGGAAGATGGTGACAAAGAGAATCAATCCACAGGGATGCGGAGGGGGGGAATGAAGATCTGGCTTGAAGGTTAGAGTAGAAAAGGTATGTGTAGGTAGATGTTTATATGTAGGAAGAGATTTGGAACATTACTTTTACTAATTTTAAAATTAGATATGAGATTATACAAATTAAAACGTCAGCAAGATATTTCTTTTTTTTTAATTTTTAATGTTTTATTTATTTCTGAGAGAAGCAGGGTGAGCAGGGGGGGGGTCAGAGAGAGAGGGAGACAAAGAATTCGAAGCAATCTCCAGGCTCTGAGCTAGCTGTCAGCACAGAGCCCGACGCGGGGCTCGAACCCACGAACCGGAAGATCATGACCTGAGCTGAAGTCAGACACTCAACTGACTGAGCCACCCAGGCACCCCTAATGTATATACTTTTAACTTAAAATGAATCTATTTCCTTGTAAACCATATCACTTTCATTAATATCTACAAATTTCTAAAACTATACTTTCATTTTTCTCCTTCCAGTTTTGATATTACTGTTGTGTATAGATTCTCAGATACTACTGCTATTACCAATGCTCAATCACTAATCTTTTAAAGAGCTTTTTAGAACAACAACAACAACAACAAAAATATTTGTTTACTCACATACTTACCATTTCAAGTGCTCTTCATTGCCTGTGCAGCTCCAGATTTCTATCTTGGGCCATATTTCTTCTGCATGAAGTATTTATTTTAAGATATCTTACAGTGTACTCTCCTAAAGATGAATTCTTTCAATTCTTATAGGTCTGAAAAAGTCTTTATTTCACCTTTATTTTTAAGAATATTTTCTCTAGATATAGAATTATAGTTTGGCTCCATTTGTTTGCATTTAATACTTTAAGAATATTTTCCTCTCTTCTGGACTCATTGTCATAAGAAATCTTTCTCACTTTTGTTTCCCTATATGTAACATTTTTTTTTCCTGTCTGTCCTTAAGATTTTTTCTTTGTTATTGGCTTTGAGCAATTTGGTTACAATATGTCTTGGTGTATTTTTGTTTGTTGCTTGGTTGTTCTTTTCATGTTTCTAATATTTGTAGCCTGTTGACTCTCTTGAATCTGTGCACTTATTGTTTAATCAAATTTGTAAAATTTTAGGGTATTATTTCAATAAATATATTTACAATTTTCCTTCTCTCTTTTGAAGACTCAATTTCCTTAGAGATTGGGCTACTTGAAGTTGTACCACAGTTTACTGATGCTCTCTGTTCATTGTCTTAAGTCTTCTTTTTTCCCTGTATTTCATTTTCGGTAGTTTCTATTGCTATGTTGTCAAGTTAACTAACTTAAGTTTTGCAATGTCTGGTCTTTCTTTATCCCATCAAGTGCATTTTTCAAATCAGTATTGTATATTTTCCATCTGTAGCAAAGAGATTTGGTCCTTTAAAAAAATATGATCCATGTCTCTACTTAGGATACTTAATCATTGTTATAGCTTTTTGAATGTATGCAGTGTAATAATAATAATAATAGTGTTATGATGCTCCCCTGATAATTCCAGCATTTCTTTCAGTTCTGAGTTGTTTGGATGGACCAATTATTCTCCTCATTATGAGTCATATTTTTCTGCTCTTTTTCCATGCTTGGTAATTTTTTATTAGAGGCAAGACATTGTTAATTTTGCCTTGTTGAGTGCAATTTTGCCTGAATTCTGAGTATTTTTGTAATCATATACATTTTCTTGAGCTTTTTTTTTTTCTTGGAGTTGTTTAAATTATTTTTAAATAATTGGAGTCTTTTGGGTCTTCTTTTAATGTATTTGTTTTGTTTTATTTTGTTTTATGTTGGACAAGAGCAGTAATTAGTCTAGGAATCATCACCTCCTTGACTGACAAAAGGTGCTTCTAGGTGTACTACCCAGTTCTGCGTGAACTATGGAGCTTTCCAGTATAACTGGGATAGCAGGAACTATTCTTGTACCATCTGGGCTCTAGGTACTGTCCTTTCTATCCATTTGGGCAGTTCTTTACATGGATTCCCACATGTGCTGAACAGTGCTCTGTGTAATGCTGCAAGCGTCTGAAAACACTTCAGGTTTTCAGAGTTCTTTCCTTGTTCTGCTCTCAACTTATAAATATTCTTCCCTGCTGACTATAGTTGCCCCTGGGTCCTTGAACTATCAGGTCTGTGTCTTCCACTAAAGGCATTGACTACTCCCTCCTTGATTTTCCATTTTCCAGCACCACAGCCTGGGAACTTTTGCAGAGAAATATACCAAGTAGTTGCTGAACTTATTTCATTTGTTTCCTACAAGAGTGAGTTGTCTTTATAGCTTAAAGTCTAGGGTCCTGAATATAATTGTTCTATCCATATTGATTATTATTTTTTTTTTTAGGTAGATTGGTAAAATCTGTGTATGAGAAATCTATTGTATCCTAAAGTAGAAGTCACTTGGTTTTAAGTAATAGAAACCCACAGAGGAAACAATTAAAAACTGAATGCATAGGAACACAGCACAGTCCTTGAAACTAGACTTCTTGGTTTTAAATCCTAGCTCCACCAGTGTAACATTAGGCAATTTTCATGAATCTCTATGATTCATTTACCTCATGTATAAAATAAAGGTGATTAAAGTAACCACTTCACCAATTTAATATGAGGACTAAATCAGTTAGTATATATGAAGTGCTTAGAATACTGCCTGTCTCATGGCAAACCCTCAATACGACTAGTTATTCTCTTATTAGTTGTAGCAGTGAGGAGCTCTTCTATTATTATTATTACAAGGAGAATGTATAATAAAGTTCTTCAAGAAACTGGAGAGAGGAAATGGAAATGCATTAGTAACCAAGGTTATTGGGTTTTTTTTTTCCTCTTGAACAATGGATGTACCTCATCTATGTTTTTTCTCAGTTTCTTCTTCATTCTGATCTTTCCCTGTTTAAACTAACTCTTTCTGCTTCTCCTAGTGATTCTGACTAAACACTCCTGACCTGAGTTGTTGAGTTTCTATGTACTAACGCTAAGAAATTATCTACTGGGAAAATACACATGACTGACTCGGTAGGAGGGGAAATTCAGAAAGTAAATATTTGGGTTACAGAGTGTTTACTATAGGGAAAAATTTTCATTAAGATTAAAGAACTCACATTAGGATCACATATCTGAGTTTGCTTTTAGGGGGCTTGAATACCTTCAGAGATTTTGGTTTCCTTAAGATTTTGAGATCTCAAAGACATATGACTTAAGGGTGGTAAAAGAAAAAGGCTTCAAAAGTGAATTGGGAATAATGTAGAAGCAAAGTTCCCACGGGTGGGAAACTGTGCTTTTCTACTACTTAACAAATGTCTCCTTCCTTTTTGTTATTCAGTAAATCTCACTTTGAATGAATAAGTGTCATTGCAGTAATGCTCTATTTCTAACTAGCTGTCGAATTTTTCAGACATGCATGAAATAATTTCATGAGTAATAATTAACAAGTGACAGAAGTTAGCTGTATATGTTTTTAAATTATGAAAATAGATAACATTTTCTTCCTTTACTTGTTTAAAAATTTTTTTGATTGTTCTTTTCAAAGAGAAATGAGTGGTCTTCAGTTAATGTCTAAAAAAAATGAATTCAATGAAAGCCAAAGTGTGTTAATTTTAGTTCCCTTAGTGTTGCTTGTATTAGATCCTATATAGTTTTTAAAAAAGCCTCTTTGGAGAATTTAATTATAAGGACCCTTCAAAGTATTAAGGTATCTTAATACTTTCTGTAAGGCAAAAAGAAGACTCTAACAGATTAATTCAAATATTCCTGTTTTAGTAGAATTATTTATGGGAAAGAGTGTTCAGAAATAGAATTGTTAGAGTAGGTAGACAAAGACAGAAATGTCTGGTTAAATGTTACAAGGCTCTTGACTGACTGTCCTCTTCGTGGATGGACCACTGTTTTCTCAGAACAAGATTTAGTCTCGTTGTTTATAATAAACCACTTTCTCATTTTATCAAGACTATGATTTTCTTCCTGTAAGTAATTTATGCATTTTCTCACCCAAGTAGCTTCTTTTCCAAACCAAATTTTAAATGTTTTTTCTTCTACAGATCTTAGCAAAAGAGAGATAATACTATTCCCCAAAATTTAACCTCTTGTCTAATAAACACTGATAAATATTTGTTGTTATGTGTAGATGAAAAATATGATGTATTATGTAACACGGACATTGAATCCAATTTCAAATACAAGAAAGGAACTTATTATTTTTTTAACATTTATTTATTTATTTTGAGAAAGAGAGAGAGAGAGAGAGCACCAGCTGTGGAGAGGCAGAGAGAGAGGGAGAGACAGAATCCCAAGCAGTCTTCATACTATCAGCATAGAACCTGATGAGGGTTTCGATCTCACCAACAGTGAGATCCTGACCTGAGCAAAAATCAAGAGTCGGTCACTTAACTGACTGAGCCACCCAGGCATTTGAAGAGAACTTTTTAAACAAACTGAGTGTGACTTTTTTTCTATGAACAAAATTCTTAGGTCATTTAAATTAGCATGTTAGTAGTCCAGACAGGGTAGCATATTTGGATGGCTTATAAAACAAGACATAAAGCATTTAAAGAATATAAAGATCTTGTTGTCATCATTTGTTTATTTTGTTACTAATTTTGTTGCAGTTTTTTTTTTTTAAATCTATCACATCATGGGAACCACAGTGAAAGCTACCTTCTAAGTTTGACTCATAAGCTTATGTTCACTAGGGTTTTATAAAATTGCATTTAAATTATTTACAAAATTGCATACCTATATTGTACAAATCAGAGAGATTGATTTCTAACAGAGAAATAGTGAAAATAATTTTCTAAGTCAACTTATAGGGTCAGAAAGGAAAACAAGAAAGTTATCATTCAAATGATCTTATACAAAGGCTTTCAGAGCTATTCTGTGCACAAAAGAAAATGTGCAATGCAGAGGAAAGGGGTGGGTCCCAATGGTTTTGGCTTGTCAAATTTTAAATCAAAGTTTTTGTTAATATTCCTTTTCTTATTTGATAGCCATAATTCTCCCTTTAATCATCTCTTTGGTTAATTTGTGTTTCTAGTCTTCTCTGCTACTTTTAAACAAATCATTTTCTTTCTATGATAATAGAAGTTCCATAAAGGCAGATGTTTTTCACACTTGTGGTCACTGTTGTATCTCTTAAGTCCAGAACAATATCTGACTCATAATAGATTTTCAATAAAATATTTGTTACTGAATGTTAAATGACTTTACACTACTTGGAAAGTCCTGGAAACAGTCTCTCTGCTACATTTATGGAAAAAATGAGAAAAGAAAAGAGAATTTCCAGCAAGCTCATGAACGTTTTGAGTATGGAAAATCTATATGGTGCCTCTTTGTATATTCATAACATAAAAAGCTCCAGAAAAAATTGAATAGCTTTCAACATAGAAAATAATCAATAACTGTCATTGATGGATTTTCTTCCAAGAGTTTGTTCCCAAAGATGAAACACAGAGAATTTTGAGTGCTTTCTGCTGCTGCTGCTGCTGCTGCTGCTGCTTCTGCTGCTTCTGCTGCTTCTGCTTCTTCTTCTTCTTCTTCTTCTTTTTCCTCTTCTTCTTTTTCTTATTTTGCATGCTGCAGAAGACCAATTCAAGGGTTAACTCCATCATACCACTTTTTCTTCACAGGTTTCTAAAAGAGAATAAAACAGTCGGGGAATAGTAGTTTCACGGTGTGGGTTTGAAGGTGATTGGTGTGGTATTTCACAGCTTTTGCAGGAATAAAAACCCACTTTGAGTTTACTCCATTAGGAAATAAAGCTTCCTTTCTCTTTCTGCATCACTCTCTGCACAGGTTTTGCAAATTAAAAATATTTATTGACAGAATGAATGGTAATGGTAATTGTGCAATGACCTTCACTATAATAGACACGGAGGGGGAGAAGGATGGGATAAAGGGGTGCATTCTTCACAGCTATAGACAAACCAAGTGTCACTTTTACTTAGCTTGGGGTTATTAGTTTTGGATTTCCATTTAAATATGAATAAACCTAAATTTTTGAGCTGATTTGACATAGTAGAAACAGATTGGCGATCATTATCTTTCATTGCCTGATGTACAATGTGTTGAAAATTATTTTTCTCTTTTTTTCTTTTATTTTTTTAAAATTATTTTCAGGAGAAAAGTTTTATCTGGCCCCTATTATTTCATGTTGGCTAGAAGCAGAAGTTGGAATGTCTAAGAGACTACCACCGGGCCACTTTGGACTTTTCATGCTAGTGAAGAAAGAAGAAAATGTAGGGGGGCAGAGGGCACACTTGGATGGTTCAGTAGGTTGAGCATCAGACTCATGATTTCAGCTCAGGTCATGATCTCACAGTTCTCAAGTTCAAGCCCACATAGGACTCTGTGCTCTCAGCTCAGAGCCTGCTTGGGATTCTCTCTTCCCCTGTGCCCCTCCCTGCTTGTTTTCTCTGTCTCTGTCTCTCTCTCTTAAAATAAGTAAACTTTATATAAAAAGCAAAAAAGGGGATTACTGTACTGGAGATGACAATTGACCTTTATATCCACGGGGAGGGTTTGTTTCTTCTACAACATAATGGTAAGAAGGAACATGTCCGTAATGCAAAAGATCCTGGGCCACCTGGGTGACTCAGCATCTAAGTGTCTGACTTCAGCTCAGGTCATGAATCCTCAGTTTGTGACTTCAAGCCCTGTGTTGGGCTCTGTGCTAACAGCTCAGAGCCTGGAGCCTGCTTCTGATTCTGTGTCACCCTCTCTCTCTGCACCTACTCTGCCCATGCTCTGTCTCTCAAAAATAAATGTTTAAAAAAAAAAAAAAGATCACTTGGGATCTTTCCCAGTACTCCCATGTACATGGTTAAAATCAAAGGAAAACTACAATAGCCCAATACAAGCTGGTCTGATGGTGGTCCATACACTTCAACACTTAAAGAAGGTAGATTTAGATCATTCCTTATGAGCTAAGGAATCACAGCAAGCTAAGGTACCTGGGTCAAGCAGTTATAAAGATCAGCTATAACCATGGAATTAGTTGTACAAGGAAGGATTGCAGTGGATATGAATCTTACTTATAATGACCTAGATATATTTATGTATATATTAACCAGGTTTTTCTCTTTCTTTTTTCCTTTCCTCTACCATTTGTCACAAGATGTGATGCTAATAATTACTCTTAGCTCTCAAAATTAAAGTTACAAAGTATCAGGGGAGATGTATGTCTCAGCTAGATGAAGAATGAACACACCTACAAACAGATAAAAGGACTCTGAGTCCTTTAGGGGAAGATAGTTGGCACAGTTTCAGTTATACAAAGGGGAGTTGCCAAAGCTTGCTATCATCTTTATTTAAATGCTAAGTATAGATAAAGGAAATGTATATGGATTCAGGTTGACCAAGGAGGGGCTAGGGTGGGCTTGTATCATTTAGCTAAGCTGGAACTCTGTTTCCCAGAATTCTTTGTTCGCTGTCACTGTGTGCCAAAAGAAACATTCGGCATAGATTAGAAAGGCAGAAGGAGCCAGCAGTCACCTTCCTGTTACCCTGAGAGGTCAGGGCAGGGACAAGGAGCTGCTGAAGCTTCCACAGTGTGCTCACTACCCGCTGTCATGTAGAAGCCAGGCCTGCAGTGACTTCAGATGATGGCAGATTTTCTTCTTTAGGTTCTGTGACTCCTGGCTGAGGTGTGTGTTTAGTTAGTGATGGAGGGTGCCAGCTTCCCCAGGTAAACACCATTTTGAGGCTGGAGACCTGAAGATGGTGAGGTAGGTTGTAATTTGTCTTCTTAGGTTCTAGTTCATCTTGTGTTTTCCAGCCCATCTCTACATGTTTTAACCAGTTTTTGTTCCCTGCACTTCACATCTGTCCTCTCTTCCTGACTACTTGCCTTGTTGAACTTCAAAATGTAAACACCAGATACAGAAGCAAAAGCCCTATATGAAATTTTCAACCAATGATGTAAGGCCAAACCTCCCTAAAACTCATTTTGTTATAGAGATGTGTATATATGTGAGTGTGTGTATGTATCCTAGTGATTTTGCTTCTCTGAATAAACTCTGACTGGGATACGTTGCAATCTTTTTTGAGGTGACCAGAGAAGACTTCTCTGATACCATGAAATCTGAGTAAAGTAAGGAAATTAAGAATGAATATAATATATCGTTGAATGCAGTTTTGTGTGATTTGAGGAAGTGCGTGGAAGCTAATGTGCTATAGCACAGTGATCAAGGAGCAATAGTGAGGCCAAAATGTACCCAGGGGAAATTTATTTATTTACTTATTAAATATGTTCAGTAGCTTGGCTTTAACCACCTGGGTGGCTTAGTCTGTTAAGTGTCCAACTCTTGATCTCACCTCAGGTCATGATCTTACAGTTTGTGGGTTTGAGCTCTGCATCCGACTTTGCCCTGGTGTCATGCAGCCTGCTTGAGATTCTGTCTCTCCTTCTCTCCATCCCTCCACTGGTTGTGCTCTTTCTCTCAAAATAAATAAATAAACTTGAAAAAATCACACAAGGGAGACTTCCACTTCTAGTTAAGATAAAAATCCTTGTAGTAAGTAGACAAAGATTTCCACCAAGAACAACTAGAGAGGTCAGTTGAAAAAAAATGGGCAAGATCTCAGACAGAAGTAAACCCTATAGTCAATAATTAACCTTCTGTCATTTTTCACTAATGTTATTTGATACATTGTTAGATTGCAGGGGGCAATAATCTAAGAGAAAAGCAGAAATAACATGGAAAAACAACAAAGTGCTTGACTGTCCTGTGGTACTGAAGTGACAAAATTTAGAATTTTTGTCGTCTCCTCAAAGAAGAGTTCTTTAAGAGCTTTAGGCTCTCTGTTGGAACTCCCAGAGTTGGATGAGCCAGATGCAGAAAAAGCTTACCCACGGATGCCTAGCTTTTAGTCAGCTCTGTTTCTACCTGGATTATTATGATGCTACCCAACTCTTAAATGCCTATGAAAAGACAAGGTGATCTATCCATGAAGGAAGATAACATCATCTAGATTGCTGGAAAGCTTCATGCACAGCACTCAGTAATCAGTCTAGAATTGTGAAACATATTTAGCAACAAAGTGAAGAAAAAAGCTGGTGATAGGGACTTATAGATGACCCAGTCATTGGTGCTATAGGACATGAGTTTTAAAATAACCATAACTGCTATGTTCAAGAAAGTAGATGATAAGATAGAGAATTTCACAATTAAAAAAAAAAAACAAATGCACCTCTATTCCTATAAAAATTAAAATGAAAATTCTGCAACAGAAAAAGAATACCATAATTAAAAATTAAGTTTCCAGTGAAGGGTCAACAGAAAATTGGGTACAGTGAGAGAGGGCTAATGATCAGGATTGTAGGACACAGTAACTGTCCAGATGGAAGTGTGAAGTCGTAAGAGGATAGAAAATATTGGAAAGTGTGTAAGAGACCTTTCAGACATCGTGAGGACTTCTAACATGTATATTTGGGAGGCAAAGAATTATAGGGCAGAAACAATATTTGAAAAAATATTGGCTCTGGAAGAACACTTCCCAAACTGATGATAACCATCAAGCCACACATTAAAAGGATCTTGCTCATAGTCATGTGTGGGATAGATTATGAAAGCAGGGACACCAATCGTTGTCTATTAAAAGGTCTAGAAGAAAGATTATGTAGCCAGGTCAGTTGCAACAGTGTGAGGGGAATGAAAAGTAGGCTGAATCTGGATATATTTCAAAGGAGAGCAGGAAGAATGTGTTGATAAGATTAGGGCATTCTGCGTAGAAAAGAGGATGACATCAGTCTGAACTGGAAAGGTTGAACAGCTTTTACTGAGTTGGAGAGTAAAATTACAGAGTGATCAAATTGGAGTTGGAGAGGATGTGAGAATTTGTTACAAAGTAGTCACAAACAAAAGAGAGGAGCTCTATTAAGAACAGGTGTCCATGATCAGAACACACCCACGCAGTATAACCACAAAGTATAACCACACTGAATAAAGTTTCAATCATACTGTATTGAATAAAGTGTCAAATACCTGTGGTCACTTAAAAGTAACAAGTAGATAGAAGGTTCAAAACTATACTCTAAAGCAATCAATTAAACCTGGCTAACTGATGAACCCTATTCCTTCATCTTCTAGAAGTCTGTAAGTTTTAAATTGTGTTTGTTTAAATATGCCATTACTTCTTCTTCATTCTTAGGTGGTCAGAGAATTTAGCTGGTTGAAATGTATCTGGTAATAGCTCTAGATTGAAAATTATTTACCCACACCATTATTACGATACTATTTTATTATCTTCTGACATTCACAGTGAATGGGAAATTTGCCACTTGTTGAATTGACATTTCTTGGCTGGGAATCTGTTTTTTATTTATTTTCTTTGTATTTAATGCTTTGCAATTTTATTAAAATGTGCCATATTGAATGTGTTTTATTTTTCTGCTACAGGCTTAGAATAATTCTTAAGTCCTTTTTCAGATTTTGAAAATTCTTGGCCATTATCTTACCTCAGTTCTCTATGTTACCCTTTTGAAAATACTATTAGCTACATGCTACAAGATTTCATTCTAGCTACCAAAACTTTTGGGCATTTTGTTACATTTTGTATTTTTAAAAATTACTTGGTTATATAATTCATAAATTCTCTCTCATATTTTCTTTTTTTGATATCTAATCCATTTATTGTTTTATTTTAATAACTATGTATTTTTACTTCTAGATCCTTTCCAAATCCGTATGTTTAAAATTAGTTTTTAGACTGTTAGATCATTTGCCTGTTCTCAGGTTATTAACCCTTTCATCTGATATATATTTTGACTCCTACTCATAGGGTTTGTGCTGACTATACAATTTTAATTTTTTATAATGATTTCATCTTGTATGTGTGTGTGTTTTAAATGGTGAGACAACTATGGCCTGAATTTAACAAAACCCTTTAACGAGTCATTTTTTGATTGTAGAATTTAAGACAAAACTGATGAGCAAACTCAGAAAGGATAGGAGTTAAATACATCTCTTTATGATTCAAATCCTAGGAAATAACAATAATATGAAGCTAGCATAAGTCACATGGCCACTCCTAAGCCAGAAGGACATAAAGTTCAATAAGTATTCCAATTAGGACTAAATGACAACTTGAAAAGGGGAGTATGATAACCAAAAATTATCTTTAAAAAACAAAACAAGATCTTTATATTGCTTATCAAGCATAGTTTAAGTAATACTGTCTTTGTTAACTATGATTTAAAAAAAGAAAATTATATTTCATCCTCTTAGATCATAGTAGGCAAGAGATTAACTATAAATTATATTCTTTAAAAAATGAATTTTGTCTAGGGAAAACAAATATCTATTAACACGCAATAATGTTTCACATGTTAGTGCTATAATTAGAGATGATGATGTCTTGATAAGAATCAAGAATTGTTCAGAGAAATGGGCAGATACAAAAAGCATACCCTAGGTATAAGGTAGAGGAAAACACCATTTGGGGAGGGGTGATTATAGTGATATAGTTCATATCTCAGGAACAGTGACTTACCTAAGTTATCTAGGTGTCAAACTTGAATGATATCCAGGAGGGATGGATGACTATTTAACTTATAAGACCTAAAAGAAAAAGCAGTTTACTGTCATATATGTGTACGTGTGCATGTGTGGTGTCTATGAAAATGAAAGCAGCAGAGATAGAGAAACAGACAGAAAGGCAGAAATTAGTAAGTATGTGCATACATTTTGATGGGGAGGGGGGACTGGTGCCTTGACCACAGAATGAACATTTATATTTGGGTCTTTTAATATTGAAGTTAATATTCATAAGAAATCTAGCAGGCATTCCAGAATGAACGTCTAGAACTGTGTTGTCCAATCCAGTATCCACTAGCTACAAATAGCTATTTAAATTTAAAATTTGGGGGCACCTAGGTGGCTCAGTCAGTTAAGAGTTCCACCTGATTTTGGCTCAGGTCATGATTTCACGGTTTTTGAGTTTGAGCCCCATGTTGGGCTCTGTGCTGATACCACAAAGCCTCCTTGGGATCCTCTCTCTCCCTTTTTCTCTGCCTCTTCCCTGCTTGTGCTCTTTCTCTTTCTCAAAATAATTAAATAAACTTTAAAAAAGAAAAATAAATAAATTTAAAATTTGGTTTCTCAGTTGCACTAGCCACATCAAAAGGGCTCAATGGCCCCATGCATCTAGTGACTACTGTTTGGACAGTGTAGATAGAGAACATTTCCATCACCGTAGAAAGTTCTACTGGATTAGAAATAGAATTTAGGAGAAGAGATTTAGAATGGGGCATCATTGACGAAGATGTATTGGGAACATTGCAAGAGAGATGAACAAACAGAATAGAGCAAAAGAAAAGAAAGTAAAGAAAAAATCTTATGGAATGCCTTATTTTATATGAGATATAAAACAATGTGTAAAATTGTTAAAAAGCAATTCATATGTCGCTAAAATGAGCAAATAAGAGGACTCTAGATGCTGGCGAGGATGTGGAGAAATGGGCACCCTCCTACACTGTTGGTGGGAATGTAAACTGGTGCAGCCCCTCTGGAAAACTGTGGAGGTTCCTCAAAAAATTAACAATAGAACTCCCCTATGACCCAGCAATAGCACTTCTAGGAATTTACCCAAGGGATACAGGAGTGCTGATGCATAGGAGCACATGTACCCCAATGTTCATTGCAGCACTCTCAACAATAGCCAAAATATGGAAAGAGCCTAAGTGTCCATCAACTGACAAGTGGATCAAGAAGCTGTGGTTTATCTATACAATGGAATACTATCTGGCAACGAGAAAGAATGAAATCTGGCCATTTGTAGCAACATGGATGGAACTTAAGAGTGTTATGTTGAGTGAAATAAGGCAGAGAAGGACAGTTGCCATATGTTTGCATGTATAGGAAGATTAGGAGGAACTTAACGGAGGACCGTGGGAGAGAAGAAGGGGAAAATAGTTGGGGAGAGGGAGGGAGGCAAACCATGAGAGACTCTTGAATGCCGAGAACAAACTGAGGACTGATGGGGGTGGGGGGGAAGGGGGGTGATGGGCATGGGGGAGGGCACTTGTGGGGATGAGCACTGGGTATTATATGGAAACCAACTTGACAATAAACTATTTTTTTAAAAAACAATTCATATATTCAGTGTTTCTATTACTTATGGATAAAGGTTGCTAGGGGTGGGGGAGGGAGAATCAAATATCACTATCAATTTAGATCCAATGAAAATAGACATGATACAGCAAAAATTGAATCAAATTGCTCTTCTTAGAAGTCTAATTTTGAAAAGTTTAAATTCTGTACTTTCATTAAGGATGTCCAGGATAAACTCTGAACTTTCTTTTGATTGGAAAAAAAATCCTAAAATTTAACACAGAAGAGGGGTCTGTCTGTGCTTTTAGAGTCTTCTTCTTTGTATATCTTTCTCTGCAGTGTCACTAGAGATTTGAAACAAAATCTTCTCTGGATTTGGTATTAATCCAGTGATTAAGAGACTATGTGTAAGAGGCTGGGAGGCAACAAAATTGCTTTTCATTTTCAGTGACATGATTCTTAGATTTTACAACATTTTTACTGGGTGGCTGTAAAAATACCAATATGGATTTCAAAAATCTATTTTAAAAATATTCTTTATAATTTACTAATACATTTTAGAAAATCTTATATACTTCATCAAATGATATTTTTTGCTTTATTAACATGTGTAAATAGGACCAAAATATGTGTGTGTGTGTGCTGCTTTAATTAGGAAATGAATTTGTATTGATAAAACCTATTTTTAATATTGATACTCAGAAAAGATTAGAATCAGAATAAAAATTAAAATAGGTGTTATTTCTTTTGCAAAGATGAGCAATAGCTATGCCCTCAATAGTATTTTTTTAATTTTTCCCTCTATGCCCTCCATCAGCTATAGACACACAAAATGGTTTCTGCTATATTTTTGATTGCCTAATTGTTATTTAAGCCTTTTCTTTGTTTATTTGCATTGAATTCTTTTAATGCTGATACTAGTTCTTTTTTTTTTTTTTTTTTAAGAGAATGAATACTGAAACTGTGGACCTTCTTAACCTCCTGTATAAAGTTCATGCCTTGACCTTCTTAGATGAAGCACTTTCTATTTGGTAGCTGAAGCTGCTTAAATTCTGCACCAGATGTGGTAAGGTTATTGCTTTCAGCCCCATCTATATATAGATTAGCTGACATATTCATGCTTCATGAACTGTCATATTCCCTTAAGACAGACTGTCTCAAAGTATGTGTTCACATGTTCTATGTGGCCTAATGATCCAGTTATCTCAATTCACCATTAAAGTCTTGAGCTAAAATACAGAGAATATAGAATACTTTTCCAACTATTAATCCACTTTTGTATAGTATTAGAACCTGTTTTAAATGAACAAAGAATATACTTCAAATAGTCCTCATGATTAGAACAAAAATTAAGATATAAAATACCTTAAAAATAATTTTTTGAAATGATCTTTATATTTTCTTATTCTAACTGATTTTTTTTCATGTGTAATTAAAGCAAATTCACCATTTTTTGATGGGGGGAGGCTTGTTGGTGATAACCAATGGTTCTGGAATCATAGCCTTTAATTTCTGGCATGAGAGATATTTAGACTTCTCCTAATGGCAACAGTTGTAAAATAGACCACAGTTATATGATACATGTTCTCAAGAAACATGAATTTCCCTGAGTACCTTTTTCCATTACAGGAGACTTTCATGAACTCTTGACAACTTCTCTTAAAATTACTTTGTTGACTCTTAAAGCAAGGCTTATCATTACTCCTAATTATTTTCAAAAATGAAGCTTACTTAATGCAATGCTTCAACAAATTTTCATAGCTAGTGTTTGACATAACCTGCACTTTTAAAAAGGAATCATGGCTGTTTTCAGAAACATTAGCTTTTGAATTTATTTTAACCAAACTTTAAATGGAAATAATATTAATTTCCACAATGCTCAAAGTGAGCACAAGAGTGATAAGGAAATTCTATTGCAGATGTTTAGGAAAAGGGCATTTCTTGCTAGCAGAAATATTAAGTACTTTGCCAACTGGTCGGTTAACAAAATAGCAAAGAATTCAAATTCCTCAAAAACTGTTCCTGAAAATATTCCCTTCTAACCAATAAAAATGATATGCCTTATTTCCTTTCCCTAAATATTTATATTTGCCATTAATAATTTGGATTTCTAATTTTTCCAAACAGTGTGTACCATTTATTAAGTGACCTTAAACATCCTTATCAGGAAAAAGGGGAATAATTATACCCAACCTGCCGAACTATAGTTGAGAGGATTATAAGTGACAAGTTTATAAGCTGCTTAACAAAATCATCTGAGGATATGAAAAGGCACGTAATAAATATCATCTTATTGTTCTCACCATTAACATTTCTATTTCAGGACAGATATAAAGTTACACATAAGTTTAATAGGAAACATGAAAAAGCTGCAACCTAATCCCTCATGTGAGCTCACTGAAGTTTGAAGTTGTCTCTTGGTCATCAAATAGACTGTAGACTCTTTGATGGCAGGAGTAGTGGTTTACTGGTTTTATAGTCAGGAACCACCACCTAGCACAGAGCCTTACACAGGTAAAAGGGAATAAAATATGGCATCAGAATAAATCAAAGTGAGCTCTCATGCTCAAAATGCTTTTGGTTAGTAGTTTATATATTTACAATTGCAATAACAAGCCAAGCTATGGATAAACACAGGAATTAAGGGTGTCTCTTCCTCCAGAATAATTGTCTGAAATTTCTCTCTCTAGCTTCATCGTCTTCCTAAAGCCCCAGGAGTGCTGTCTAAGACAAGTATTGTGCAAAAGCTTTAGAACATGGGAAGTTAAGTATGGCTCAGGTGCCTCTACTCTCCAGCAGAACTCTTCGCTGAACTGGTCAGTCTTCACAACCGTTCTTACCTCAGCAGTTCAAGGACTCGCTAGTGATTGTTTGCATCTGTCTCATGTCCTAAAGGATCAAATTTGAGTTGTGTTCCATGTATCTCCAAACTATGAACTCTGAGGGAACTAGAAGCTATATAATTAAATATCAAAGCACATATCATTATATACTAAAAAGACAACCTGTTCACGTATCAAGACACCTAAATTTCTGCACCATTTTCATCCTCTTTAAGATGAAGACAAATTCTACCCTTAGTTTCCTTCCAGCTCTAATATCTATGATTCCTCAGCTGAATTCCTGAAACACACCTTCATTTGAAGTGCCTGCTTAACTCAGAATGCATATATTTATCCAGAGCAGCCATTGTAAGGCGTTGACCAAGGAATAGGAAGAACTGAAGTTGTTCTTGGGTCAAATTTGAGCTAAATAACCCTGCTGATATTTGCTTACCTTTAGAGTTTATTGTATTAGTTAAGTATCTCTAGAGAAACTGAACTATCATATATATATAGTATATCCAATATCTCTCTATATAAATATATAGAGATATAAGATATACATTATAGGATATATAGATATGTGTGTATATACATACATTTATTATGAGATAATCAGTTTCCATCGTTACAAACTTTGAGAATCCCCATGATCTGCCATCTGTAAGCTAGAGACGCAAGAGAACCATTGCTATAATTTCAGTCCTAATGCAAAGACTTGAGAACCAAGGGAGCAGGTAATGTAGATTCCAGTCCAAGGGAAGGAGAAGATGATGTCCTAGCTCAAGTATGTAGGCAGGAAAAGAGTGAATCCTCCTTTTCTCCATTTTTTTTTTTTCTTTTTAAAACCTCAGTGGATTGCATGATACCCACCTACACTGAGGAGGGCAATCTATGTTACTGAATCTACCAGTGCCAGTGCTGATCTCATTTGGAAACACACAGAAATAATGTTTAATTGGAGCATCCAATGGCCAATGAAGCTGACACATAAAATTAACCTTCACGCTTATTAAGAATCCATACTCCTGAATATTGGAACATGTTTCATTGGGAGCTGCTTTCAGGAACACAAAGGAAATTAGTGAAAATTGGACCAGATAACAAATATGTTTTCTCAATATCCTCTAATGAGGAATTAAATCAGTTAGTACATAGTTCATAATCACTTAACACTTTGTGAGTTTCTGTGAGCTACAAAATCTGCACAAGACACTTCCCCTGCCTATGTAGACACCAGATAATACGGAAACATGAAACATAGGTGCATAAAATATCCAGTGGAAAGAGCTAGAACAAGGGATAATCTTTTATCCCTATACTCTTGATTATCCTATCTATTGAAAACAAATAGAGAGAAGATTGCATAGGTCTTATTGAAAATTTCCTAGGATCTAAAATATCAGACAGAATGTATTCTTACTGAACTCATTCCATGATTGATAGTAGTAACTATTTCATGTATAAAATTCAGGAAATATTATTTGTATTGTCCTCCTAGGCATGGAAAAATTTATCAGTTTGTTGTTGGTGAATAGGAGTTAATCTTTATGTTAATTTCCATGAATTCAGTTGATGGTAATATCTTCAGAAGTTAGCGAAAAAGCAGGGGACAGGAAGATGCTACATGAAGAGATACCAGAAAAATATTTTGTCAACGGGGCCTATTTTTACTCCCTTTGTAACTTGTAAAATTGTCTTAGGGTAAGTTTCTAAATATTTTGCTACCCTATGTATACTCTAGATAAAAACATTTGTCACTTCCCTGAGACTTTGTGATCATTGCCTTCTTGACAGTTAAACAGCTGCAATTCTTCCTAATCTCCTATTTAAAAAGAAATCAGAAATTTCTTTTATATCTTTTGCGGTATTGGTTTTTCACATATGAGAAGCAAAATGAGAATGAATTTCTTTCACCTGCTTATATGACCTTCTAGTCTGCAAGTTCAAATAAAGCTGACTCTGCAAATAACAGAATATTCAAGACAATAGTGCAATACTCCTTAACATCTTCAAAAGAGAGGAATACCTTTTAATTTGCAGACCATTTATTTCATTTCTCAAACATGTCTTGAGTACATTTTCATTGCCAGACATAGAGGCAGGCAATGAAACTACAGATTTGAATAAGGCAGAGTATGGCCTCATACCCAAGGGTTTTGCATTTTATCCTATGGTCTATGAGCAGTTCATTGAAAGGACTCTTTATGAAATGGTAAAATGAATTTAGATAACTTAGATAGAAGTCTAAATACTAAATTGGAATTTGGGTTGGGACCAGTGTTAAAGGCTGATTGTCAAGGCAGCAGAATAATAAATAGTCTAGGGAAAAATTAAGTAGGACTGAACAAAGGCAGTGGGCTTGGAGATTAAGAGTTATTAAATTTGAGACATATTTCAAAGTTGGATCCACTGGAATTTGGTGACTTCTTGAATGTAGAGATATTGACTGTGAGTTTATAAAACTCTGCCTAGGTTTTAAAGAGTAAACAGATAAAATATATCCAAGAACAATAGACCAATTAATTAAGATCATATGGAAAACAAGTTAGGCTTTGTGGCAACTGGATGGCTCAGCCGGTTAAGTGTCTGACTTTGGCTCTGGTCATGATCTCACGGTTTGTGGTTTTGATCCCCGTGTCGGACTCTGTACTGGTAGCTCAGAGCCTGAAGTCTACTTCAGATTCTGTGTCTCCTCTCTCTGCCCCTACCCTGGTCATACTCTGTCTCTCTCAAAAATAAGAAAACATTAAAAAATAAGAAAAACAAAGAATTTAAAAAACGAAAACAAGTTAGGCTTCTATTTCAGTTAGGGATAGCAGTTTAAAGTTTTATCTCCAAGAACCTGCTAACAGGCTGCTGAAATCTCTACTGTTCTTACCATCTCAGTGAATATTGAGGAGACATTTATATATTGGGGTAAAGTTATTTTTATGAGATGCATAACATGCAGAGATTAGGGTATCAGCAATAATTACCACTAGCTATAGACAAAAAATGAACTGGATACAAAGGTAGAATCCAGAATATGAAGTGCACTATGGAAATACTGGGGTGGAAGGGACACATGAGGGTTGGAAATGTCTGCTAAAACATCTGACGAGACTAAATTTTAACAGGACTGTTCTGAATTTAACTACCTCCTTAAGAAGTTAGCACTAGATGTGGATTTTGACAGCAAATAAACTAGAGTATATTTTTAAAAATCATTAAGCTTTCAACTAATTTTGGTGGTAGACACTTCTTTGAAAACTAGTGCTATCTATTTGTATGTGTTGGTGGGGAGGCTTGCTCCATGGCCATTTTTTTCTCTGTGCTCAATACATGTTTACTGTTATTATTCACTGAGGTAATATTAATAAAAACCAGCTGTCAGGTGATGGGTTTATCCGATGGTTTTGCTGACATGGATTTAAAAGGGGATTGATTTTGTGGGATGGACTGGATAAATACCTTTCATCCTCCCCCTCTCCCACATTTTAATGTGTTCTCAGATCAACTGTAGAAAGGAAATATGAGCTCCTTCACAAGAATTTTAACTTGGATAAATAACAGTGGTTAATAAATAAAAATCAACTGACATTTATTACAGAGCCCCACTCTTATTTATGATTTTTGGCTTTAGTTCAAAAAACACATGACTCACTCCTCCTGGGAAGATGCTGTCTTCTCTAAACTGCAGCTCTTATCTTTCTTTACCTGGTGTGGGAGGAATTTTGTGTGCTTCAATTCATTGCAAAATGTGCATCTCTCTCCCATTAACATCTGTTTGAGCCTTACCTTGCCCTGCTGCTTATCAGAGCTGCCTGGTGTATTTCCAAGATGAAGAATTGTGGTTTCCTCTTTCCGTTTACTACAGACCATGCATTTAGGTAACGACACCTTTAGGGTGCCAAGAGTCCTAGAAATTTTGTCTTTAAAAAGTTTTAAATGTTTGATTCAGCAGAATATGATATACAGCAGGACTTCTCAAGATGGAAAATAATCACAGATAAAGGTCCAATCCTCTTGTTCTATACGATGAAGCTTATGTACATTTTTGTACTTTCTGTCTACTTTGGTGAATTGATTATACTGATAGTTCTTGTTAATGGCCTCCATTCATCTAACATTTACCTTGCAATTCCTAATCGTCTCTGATTGGATTCAGAACACACTACCCTTAAAAATGGCATCTTGGCATCTTAATTATTCAAAATGAAGAAGAGAAATGACAGGTGCTAAATGGACTCTGACTTCACCCTTCTTCCCTGAAGCAGGACCATACTTACCTCTGAAGATGGAGGGATACTGACAGGAATCTGTATGAACAGGACTTGCTAAGTTTCCTCCAGTTTATTACCTTTTTGTTGATTTTCCTATGACTTTCCACTTTTCATCAAACTTAGTATAAAAATACTCAAGTTTCATCAGGTATTCATCTCCTCATGAAGTCTCCTGTGTTGCATAAAACTTTAAATAAATCTGTATGTCAGTCCTGTTAACAGGGCCCCAGCCAGAGAACCTAGGAGAGTAATGGGAAAAATGATTATTTCCTCCACTAGGCCTTGTACTTGGAATCTGGAAGAGCTATTACTTTAACCAATGGGTTGAACAGAAAAGATTGAACATTTCTGACATGGGGCCTCAAAAGGGCTCGCACATTTTCATTCTCTCTATTCAACCCTTGTATCTGACATGATGAAATCCTTGGTCTAAAGTGTTGGAGGATGGGCCACATAGGGTACAGATGGAAAATCTATGCCAAGAACATCCTTAATTGATCTGCAAGTTTCTCTCAGACAAATGAACAAGTTTAGCCAAGCTAAACTAAGTTTGGACCATATCAGTAGCCCCACCCAGCTAACTCATTGACTAAGAAACAAAATTAACAAAATTATCATCCTATGCCATTGAGGTTTTCTGAGAGTGTTATACAACATTATTGTGCAAAAGACAGATTATGAAGAGACTTAAGTCCAATGAGATTGTAGACCTTAAGAAAATTTGCAGTATATTTTGTTTTGCCTTATGCTATTATTATTAATAATATTATCACTAAAACCTAAAACTTCATCCTTCCTCTATTTTGTGTTTCTTTAAAAGTCTTAAAGTAAATATGGGGGTGGGGGTATGGAGAACCCAACATATAATTATAGTACCTTTTGCAGCTTGGGAGTCTCTTCTCCCAGAGGAAAGCCCCAGCCTTTATTGAAGCATTTGCTTTCTGCTCTCCAGGGCTTTAATGTCACTGCAAACACCTGCTATCCCTATTTTCTTTTCAAAATATTTATTCTGATACTTTATTTTGGAGCCATCAATTTTTAAAGAAATTACTACTAGCTAAATTTAGCCCAGGAGAGTCCAGAAACACTTTCTAAACTTTCTCATTTATTCTACATTATGTATACACAGAAAGCCCCATATATCATTACATCTGTAATTTATGTGTGCAAAAGTAAACACTAGACATATTTAAAAATTGAATTTATGTTACCTTCATTATATCACTTTTAAGCCAATGTGTTTGAGAGATATGTCATACTTTGAGTCAATAATATTTTACTGAAGAATCATATGCGAGAAACTATGTCCTTGAGGTAATTAAAATATTAAGTGCAGGTGTATATTTTTCTTTTCTTTTTTCTTTTATTTATTTAATTTTTTAGAGAGAGAGAGAGAGTATGTGTGTGAGTGAGTGTGTGAGAGGCAGAGAGAGAAGGAGAGATAAAATCTTAAACCAGTTCCATGCCCAGCATGGAACCCAACATAGGGCTTAGTCTCACAACCATGAGATCATGACCTGACCCTAAATCAAGAGTCAAACACTTAACAGACTGAGCTACCCAAGGATCCCTATATTTTTTCTTTCAGAACAAGGAAATCTAGCCTCAAAAGTTATGGACTAAACGATTCTAAAATACTTTCTTTAAAAAAAAAGATTTTATTTTTTTGAAGTAATCTCCACACCCAATGTGGAACTCAAATGAACAACCTCAAGATCGAGAGTTCCACCCTCCACCAACTAAGCCAGCCAGGCACCCCTGAAATACTTTTTTTCTGATGATATATTTATTGTGAAGTGTTTTGTGAATGGAATACCACTTGTAAATGGAATAATAGAACTTCTACTCCTTTCAGTCTTGGAGCAGTGGATGTTCTTCTACCTGGATTGCTATCCACCACATAAAACACTTGAGAGAATCACTTTAGTAAAAGTTTTATTCGACTAAGCAACATTGGGCTTAAGTTTGGGTTACAGGAATACCATTACTAATGAAATCTTGGTGATTACACCCTCCTGTCCCTGTCCCACAAAGGAGAAAGTTAAAACAACAGATCTTAGGGGCACCTGGGTGGCTCAGTTGTTTAAGTGTCTGACTTCGGCTCAGGTCATGATCTCACAGTTCGTGGGTTCGAGCCCCGCATCAGGCTCTGTGCTGACAGCTAGCTCAGAGTTTGGAGCCTGTTTCGGATTCTGTATCTCCCTCTCTCTTTGACCCTCCCCTGCTCATGCTGTCTGTCTCTCTCAGAAATAAATAAAACATAAAAAAAAAATTAAAAAACAAAAAAACAAAAAACAGATCTTATCATGTTTGTAACCAGTTTTTCATCCATAGCTTAAATTTATTTTTCACCTTAGGATGTGTGCCAATGCCCATCTGATAATTGCTGCACAATAAAAAAAGAAATAGAAACCCATAAAATCACTATTATTCAATGTAAATATAATATACTGTGTATTGAGGAAAAACTTACAACAGATAACTAGCACAATACACATAATTCCCCAAACTTTAATCATCCAACAGAATCATGTGCTTAACCTGATAATATTTGAACTGGACGTACCATGGAAAAGGTTCCAGCAAAGGAATTTCACCTCCATAACTGTAGATATTTATAGCAAAAGATGATTAAGAAACATATAAGCAATTATGTAATAGAGTTTCCCAGGACAGGAAATGACCTTGCAAGAAAGAAATCTTCCTTACTCAGCCTGTTCTTCCATTAACCTACATAAGGCCAATTGAATCACCTCTTTAATAAACTACAGGATAGGGGGAGAAAACTAAGCCTTTAGGACCAACTGAATAACTCTTCTCTATGGCCATGGAATAAAGTTCCCCCTCCATTTTGTAAATATAGCCTTGACCATCTTATATAAAGTTATGGAGACACATTATTTAAGATTTTAAGTAATTGCCCCAACAGTAGATAGAGATCTGTATTATAAAGTAATGAAATTGGGTAAGGGAGATAAGAGGAAAGGTAATAAGGAGGAAAGAGTTAAGCAGCGGGTTTGTGATCTATGACTCCTGTTATTGGACAGATGCTCCTGAAAATGAAGAAAGAAAGCAGGTAATCCAATCTAATCTACTTGTAAGCTTGCTGAAAATTGACTTTATTAAACAGACCAATGCTATTTGTCAGAAATAAAGCACTAATCTATGGAATGGTTATAGCAGAATGTCCTTGGTTGAGGATTACTTATGGCAAACAATTCTAGAATTTATGGTTTATTAGGCATGGCTTCCTGTAAGAACATGTAAGCTGCAGTACTACCTAGGTATAAAAATGGCAATTTTTCATAACTAAATCCTCCCTGAAGTATGAGGTAATTCACACACTCATTTTCTTCATCTATCATTCTGAGCCAAAGAGTGTGAGTCCAATATAGAAAGGGAAAAAAGTGGGGAGCCACATTCAATAGTCTGGGACCTCTCCCTGTTTAATTCTGTGTCCTTTGCTTATAAATTAGAAAGTATTAGTGAACTTGATCCTGGGTACAATCTAAAATTCACATGGGTTTATTTTTATAATTTTACAAGGAATAAGGTGTTTATCTCCTATTCTATTTCACAGATAGGAAAGTTTTCTTTCTTCTTGCATAAATCTTCAGAATGTGAGTGTTTCCTTGATTCCTAATGACCCCCATTCTACCATTCAGCTCTCAAGATGCTCCCTTTAAGGGGTTACATTTGTCTCTTCTTGGAGAAATACAATCCATACACTTAGAATCATAATGTAGAAGTTCTTTTGTGTACCCCAGTGTCTTATCTATTCAGGAGGATGAGACATAAAAGTCATTAATAAATTTTTAAATTAATTAATTAGTTAATTAATTTGATAGAGAGAAAATGTGTGAGCAGGAAAGAGGGACAGAGGGAGAGAGAGAATCCCAAGCAGGCTCCACACTGAGCATGGCGGGGCTTGATCCTGAGACCCTGGGATCATGACCTGAGCCAAAATTAAGAGCTAGATGCTCAACTAACCTACTATGCCATCCAGGTGCCTCAATGATTTTATCCTGTAGACAGTTTTTTTCTCTGCGGTGAGCATAAATGAGTAATGATCCGTAGCTCTACTGATTCCACTCTGGATGTCATGGAAGGGAGATAAGGAACTTTGAGTATATGTGTGTACTCATTGACATGTAAAAGGAACAAGGGGTTTTCATTCTAGGTTGAGGCTGGATTCCTTTCAACAAATTTGAAATCAAACATAGATTGTTTGATCCTTTAGAAGGATCAATTTCTTTCTAAAGACATTCCTATTTAATATAAGTAATAAATTCATTTATTTTTAACATAACTTTAAAAATTATTTTTTAAACAATATGCTCATCCTCCCCTCCCCGAGGCATGTATTCTTTTCTTTCCTTGGGTTTCATAAAAGATGACCTTTACGTAAACTAAAATGAACAGTTACCAGATCCAAGGTACTCTTCTCCAATCTATACCTTCTATCCTCTACAGAGATAAAAAAGCTGGACTGTTTCAGCTCTTTTTGCTCTACTAGCTTCCTTTACCTTGGTTAAAGGAAAAGGCTGTTGCCCTACTCATAAAACTGTGATACCAACAGTGGGGTTTTCCACACCAAACAACTCTCCAATTATCTGAAGACATTAATTTGGGGTTCTACAATTGAATTGAGTTTTGGCTATCTACCTGGAGCTAGCACAGACCCCACAGGCTAAGGGCTCAGTCGTACAAGACTGCCCCCTACTTTGGGTGCCATTTCCAAGTAGTGGGTCCTCAAATTATTTACACTTCTTTCTGGTTTGGCTATAAATCAAAGATTTCCATGACTCCCATCTCAGGCTTAATAATTTGTTACAATGGCTCACAGAGCTGAGGGAAACATTTATTTACTATTTATTATAAAGAATACAAATGAAGAGATATATAAGGCAAGGTCTGAAAGGATCCTGAGTGTGGGAGCTTCTGTCCCTGTGAAGTTTAGTGTTCACTACCCTCCTGACATGTGAATGTGTTTACCAACCAACACACTGTCCAGATCCTGCTATTTAGGGGTTTTATGAAGGTCTCATTATGTGGATATGACTGATTAATTCATTGACGGCAGGTAATTAGCTCATCTCCAGGGTCTCTCCTTTCCCAGGAGGACAAGGAGGCGGTACCAAAAGTTCCAACCCTTTAATCACGAGTGGTTACCAGACTCCATCCTGAAGCTAGCTAAAGACCTTTTGAGAGTCACATTATTAACATAAACTCACGTGTG